ACTTACGCTTCTCGTTGGTGTGTGCCTCAATGTTCCAGTGGGTGTATGTGTCGCGGGGCTTGTTCTCCTTGGTGCAGGTGACTTCGATCTGCTTGAAACCCCACTGGGGGAGGTTGGTATTTCCGGCGCGCAGGTAGCATCCCAAGACCTCATGCTTCAAGCGGAAGCCAGTTGTAAGAGTGCGGACCCTGCTCCGGTCCCTGGAAGCAGCATCACTGATAACCTCGATCTTCCAGTGGTCCTTCTCGTCACCGACGGTCATGTTTCCGTAGCAAGACACCTCCTTGTCCGCCTTGGTGACAGGGGCCGCGATCTCGTGAGAGTGCAGGTTGCGGCCCGTCTGGGCATGGATCAGACGGATGGTATCCTTATCGCCAATGAAGCGGGGCTCGGCTTCGGCGTTGTAATCCTCTGAGCGGCGATTCGGGTAGAAGAACCAGTCGTTGTTGGCATCTTTATGATGGTAGCACGTCACCTGCTGTTGAGATGAGCCTTCGGGGTAGGTTTGGACGTGGCTGTGGAGCAGACCGCCGCCATAACCCATGTTCTTGATAGTCACTCTCGAGCCAAAGGCAACCTCCAAGGGGCTGTCTCTTCCGACCTCGGTGCCCCTCAGGTTGGCCTGGAAGAGCGAAGACATTTGAGCGTCACCAGGACCACTGTTAGTAAGGACTGCGAAGTGGATTGCAAAGCTGAGCAGATAGACCAGAAAGGGCAGAATAATAAGCCCAACAACCCGAGCAATAAAGTGAGCAGCCAGTTCCGTCTGCAACCATGTTAGAAATTGTACTCAGGAGCGGGTAACCAGGATAAAGACCTACCACGGGCAGCTTCGTGTCGCCAAACTTTCTCCAGAGGTCCTCGATCGTATACAGACCAACGAGAGCTGTGACAAAGAGTCCGACCAGCTTGATGCTCGTCACAAAGCCAATGCTGAGACCGGTCATGAACAGCCAGAGGAACCATTCGGGCTCGAAGCTGTTCTTGCGTTGAGAATGGAACTTTGCCCAGCAGAGAGTAGTGGCGACGGTGCCGAACAACAGCATGGAGTCCAAGAGGATGAAGCGGCTGATGGTTGTGTACGAGTTTTCGCAGAGAACCATGAGGGTGACAAGCCAGACGGCAGGGCGTCTCAGGTTAAGCTCCTTCGCAGTCCAGTAGGCCATGGGAACGCAAACGGCACCCCAAAAGGCGTTGAACTGGCGCATAAAAGTATAGTTGAGCTCCTCGGGGTACGTCTCGCCCGACTTGAACTCGAAAGATCCATTGTAGCCAGCTAGGTAGCCGCTCAGCCCGACAAGGAGTTTTCCGGCAGGGGCTATCATTGCCTGTTAGTCCAGGGCTCGCCCGTCGGTTGGGGATGGAAGGTACTTGCATGAACGTCGAAGTAGAATTCCCGTTTAAGGTAGTGGCTGCCAAACTTTCCAAAACTAGCGAGCACGTCGTATTAGCGATGGTCATAACGACAGCGAGACGAGGGGTGACTAACTGAGCTTCGTCCCAGGTGACAATGGGCGAGAGACCAATCTTATAGAATCGGGTGAAGAAGGCAAGGGCTGTAAAAATTAGGGGCGCAAACAGCCATTCCCACTGGTCGAGGACATCGAGGAAGCTCGGCGACTACGGGAGAGTGTCAGTGACTGAAGAGACCCATTGGGCATATGGAGCAGAGGGGAGGGCAAGGGCGGACCTTTTGGGCCGTCTTCTTGAGGTACTCAGCCTCTGGCTTCTGGACGACGGCGACGGGTTGCGAAGCTGCCACATTGCGTCTCCTGACCGCGTCACCGACGTCAGCGCCGGAGACGACAGCGGCCCTGTCAGTGCCGGCCATGATGAAGGCTCGTCAGGCTCAATCAGAAGGAGACTGTGTTGTATAGAGACGGTTGCGTTGGGCGGGGGTCGGGTCGGTGGTGGTGGCGTTTGTAGAAAGTAGATAGTATGGCGAGGTCGATCATAAAACGGGTAAAAAGAGCGTGTGGGTTTAAGCTGTAAATGGCCCGGGTGGGACGATGGGACGATGGAAAAGGACACCTTCTGAAGGGAAAATCCGCAACAACCAATACAGACAGCGTCAAGTCAGCGCCCAAATATCAATGCCCCAGAAAAACGGGACTCGATATCAGACGGACGGGCAAAGAAGAAGAAAGGGGGCCAGTTCTGGCGGTCGTGAAGTTGTCTAGTTTCGAGCTTGCAGAGCTGAGCTGAAGGGGGAAAAAGGGATGATGCACTCCGTGGCCTTTTGGCAGCAGCCAACCCAGGCTTCGCTGCGCCCCAGCGCGATGGCGACCCCCTGTCTGGCCTGTTCCCAGCGGGCTTCTGTGGGGATGCAAAAGAGGCACGGACCAGAGTACCCGTGTACAATCCAGCACTTGAAAGTTCGTTGGCGTGGTCCAAAGGACAGGGGTCCCAGCCAAAACTTTCCAACTTAACGAAAGAACGACGAATTTTGACGAAATAAAAATAGCACTATTCAATAGAGAGTGTTTGATTATATATGCAGGCGAATTTTTAAGCGTTAAGAATAATTTTCTAGTCGTAAAACTGTTGCAAAATGAAGTTTTGACCCTAACCCCGGTCAGAGGAACCACGCTAACGAACGAACCAGAGCTGGATTGTAGTGTACACAGTACCGGCGTATCCCAGCTGCCCAGGGCCTATCCCTGTCAGCCGTCAACGATGATCCGCCGCCACAAAATCGAAACGGCGCCCTGGATGGTGCGAGCCGCATTCTCTTGTCGGCTCATGCAACAGCTGCCAAGAACATGCCCGCACATGCCAGAGCAATCAATGTTATATAAATAGGCATAGCCGATAGTGCTCTAGGGTCAAATTCGACGGTGTTTACCAAATCCTCTGCACTGAAACATTGTCGACTTCACAGCATCTCACACATGGGAAGTCATTATATAACTCTGCATCGAGGATGCAAGTTGTCGTCATAGACGGTAACTCGGATGAACGAATAGAACACATGAATAACCAAGGCGCATACCTGCCTTACCAGCCTCTGCCTGTCTTGCCTTTTAGCTAGGTCAGTAATTTCAGCGGGGGAATACGTAGAACTCGAGATGTATCTCGAAAATCCATTGGCGGCGTAGAACATCAAATTCGCATGTAATTGCGTCCACCAGTAAGTCCTATTAAATAGCTTAGTAGGCTTCATATATCACATTTGTGAAAAGAGCTGGGTCCCCGGCAAAACAAACACTAAACCAACTCAACTCCCCATCATCGAGGTTCTCCATATTAATGGTTCATCCCACAATACTCTACAGGTGATATACACGCCTCAAGCCTTTCCTTAGTATATGTACAGGCATATAAGTGACAAACCCACAACCTACTATTGCGACGCCTTGATAGCCGCGGCCTCGCTCCTCGCCTGCGCCAGGATCGCCTCCTCCCTCTTCCGCGCCTCTTGTATCTTCCGCCCAATCTCCATATCAATCTCTGATTTCCTCTTCAAGTCGGCCATGTCCTTCATCTCGATTTCCTCCTGGTTCGTCGGGACCACCGGCACCGCCCCGGTCGCGTCCAAAAAGTCCTTGAGGATCATCTCGGACCGCCTGTTCTTCATGTCGATGGTTACGACCCGCTCGCCTTGGGTGTGCGCGGGTGCCTTGGCGTGGCCCGACGAGGACGAGGTCGGTGTGGCTGAGTCGGCTTTCGGGGCGGCGGCGGCATCCTCGCCGGCAGCAGCGATGAGCGCATCGTCGCGGAAGTACACCGATAGTGTTGCTGCGCCGGTCTGGGATGGCGTCCGGTTGACGATCATGGGCACGGCCGGGTTCCAGAACTTCAACCGCGGTAGGTTTTCCCTCCAGAACTTCCTAGCGACGACGGTTTAGTTAGCACAGAGTTTACGTAAAAGGCGTAGACGCGGGCTTCGTCCAATGGATCGGTGTTACGCACTTCGGCCCCATGTGTCCATCATTCATCTTCATAGCAAACTCCAAGTGTATCCGTGTAACGTCCTGCGGGAGGACGGCCGCGCCTGGTCCATGGCGAATATTGAGGAGCTAGAGGCCGCGTGTCAGCAACGTCCATCGACAGAGTGTTTTGGTCGTTTGGTGTTCGGCCGGCGACATGGCTGGCGACAGCGCATGCTCGTCGTCGCTCTCGGTGTAGCTGCGATTCATTGATTTACCTTCTGTAGATTTAATTAGCAGCTGGTCAATTGCCCAAGATCCACGGGACCCCCCAGAATGCCACTACTCACAGCCCGTAATACGTTCATGCGTCGTAGAACGCCGACCATCTTGAAATCTGTCGAGCCGCAAAGCTCACCAGGTGCAAAAAAAAAAATTCAGGACGTTGAGGTTCACGCGACAGCTGCTGAGCTTCTTGCCGCAAAATTTAGACTGCCCGGTCTTTCGCTTTCCCGACACGCTGCGCGCCAGGGGCCGCACTGCCAGCCTGCCACACTGCGGGTCAATTAAGACAGGTCCTTGGCGCCTTTTCCAGCTCACCGCCCGGCCCCACCCATTGTAGACCAATGAGCCGCCCCAATGCACGTTTGTAAGGTACTCTGTAACTCGTCAGGTACCCGTACGTAACGGACCCCAGGGGGAAGTAGTAAAGATCAGTAAAACGCTGGAAATAGTGATGTGATGAACAAACTGTATTACATTGCCAGATATTCAGTTTCTATCATCGGAAATATAGCAATTTCTGTAGAAGACATCTATGAATGTATGCGAAGTAGGTCAATACCAGATACTCGTACCTGCTTCATAAAGATGTGTATCAAAGACATCTCGGCCTGCATTCATTCCTTATAAGTGCTGAACTTGGTTGGTTTGATGGTTTCTTTCAAGCATTATCAATATTTAGATTCAAATACACCACCATTTGTTTCCAGACTTGAAACACGCAATATATGTATGTACATACCCAGTAACACTTTCGAATTCGTTTCTCTCTCTGGCTCCGCTTTGGCGCGCGACCATCAATCCGAAGGCACATCTTGTCGAGTATTATCCGGCAAAATATTCATCAAAGGCAAGGTGGCCGAGCGGTCTAAGGCGCCACGTTTAGGCAAAACCTGAAATTCCCATTCCGTGGTCTCGAAAGAGGCGTGGGTTCGAACCCCACCCTTGTCATAACCTTTTGCCAATATCTTTAACTAACAATTATCTTGCAACAAGTTTCCTTTTTTTCGTGTTGCTGTCTTTCTACGTTCTTTTTTGCCTTGAATGTGTTCAAAAAGTTACCGCTTTACGGAAATTCATATAATAAAGTAACTGTTTACATGAGTATCATTCACAGTATGATTTGCGAGAAACAAGCTAAGTTATATCAATGGAGATGTAATTACCCCCTATAACACACATTACTGCACCGAACCCATGAAATCAATCAAGTTGTAGCTAAACAAATCCCGACCGAATTTATATGTAATCCTGATCTTGGTCAACTGGATTTATCGAGTTTCTAGGAAAGACGCTCCTCTTCTGCCTGGAGCTTGCCCTAGGAACTGAAATTCTCAGAGGAGAATCACTTAAAAAGATCAACTGGGCGGATCTTAAGCCCCTTGCGTTATATTACTATAAAATACCAAAGACTGTCTGATATCCCGATGATATAATATAGTCGTTGGGAAGGTGGCTATCAGCAAGAGACAGACAGTCCCAACCCAATTGTCGTCACCCCCCTTTCACTTCACCTTCTCCTATATAGAAGCCCCCTCTTCAGAACTCATCTGGTTGCCTTGAAGCAAGAAAGAGTCCCCAAAGCCAACAAAGAATCCGCCCTATCCATTGCAGTTCCAGGCTTCTAAACCCAAGCCAACCGACACAGGCTGAAAAAAAAGACCAACAAAGAACGCCCGGCTAGACCACAAAGATTTGATGGTCCGATCCTCTTCCTTTCCCTCTTCAAGCCCCCGTCCGTCCATCCATCCATCCATCCTGCTAAGGATAGCCCATCCAGAATTACGCCGTTGACGAAGGACACCCCGGAGACGAGCCTCGGTATCCTTCCATGCAAAAAAAAAGAGTATAAAACACACAAAAAGCCCGTTCCCCTTTCATAGACTTCTCATATCTTATTCATAAGTCATCCGTTGCAAACAGCTCCGTCCATCTCGAGGTCATTCGCAAGGGTGGGAGTTGCTGATATATATCTTATTGCACTCGTTGCGACTGACGCGAGCATAAAACCGTCAATGCCGCTGGGGATCTTAGACAGTGGCGGAAGAAAATTGTTTCTCGGTCAGCTGGGCTCATTTGTGCGTATTCGATTGTCCGCGAACCTGAACAAAAATCCGGATAAGCAAACCAGTGCCGTCGATGCGAGAAACAGGCGTGGTAGTTGCACTTACTCAACGTTGGTCGGTTGAGTTAAACAAGCCCCGGAACTTAGACCTGACAGCCTCGCAAGCAGCATGGGGTCCGACTACCAGTATATGGGTACAGGAGAAGCCAAGATTTGTGCCTCGAATGGATAGACAGAGACGCCTCCTGCCTCCCTCCTAGCATGGGAATTGATAAACGCCTGAACCAGCCGAGATCATGCGAAAAAGCAATCAAGCATCCCGGCGCCCTCGCTTTCCAATGGATGACGCCCAACTCCGGCCCGCTGTGAAAACAACAGCCAAAAGCAATTGGGCCTGTAATATAGTCGTCGCTTAGTTGCTCCTCGAAACGTTCTCGTCCAGTGTCTCTCGGAGGTCGCTCTCAGCTCGATTTAGCGGAAAGGGGCGAATATAGTACAAATCCCAACCGGCGAGAACGTCTGCCGAAATTATTGTTGAGCGATCAGCTCTATGGAGCGGTTTTAAAGCATCACTTAAAATTCAACCGCCTCTGTTATTCGATAAGCATCTTCTTGACCCCTCCAACCTCGCACAGCCCGAGGTGTCGTATCGCTTCTCGTTCACTGGCGAGGATGATAGTGCGGTCTGGTAAAGCAGGGTTGCTGGGGTCAACATGGGAGGCGTCCTTCGCTGCCTGCTCGATAGCGTCCATTTCTTCTTTGCAGGCTTGCTGGTCCATTGGACATATTATGATGGGTTGCCGGAGAGTAATATCGCGTGCCGAGGTCATATGTGCCTATCGAGAAGTGTGAGCATGGTGATGAGCAGTAGACACAGCTTATGTGGACGATAACCACTTACCTTGATACTTAAGAAGAATTCTATCTTGTACAGCGTTGACGATGTAGAGAAGCTCGAGATCTCGTACTGTGGAAACTCAGGCTTGCCTCGTTTTACAAGACCATCCTGGTCCCTCAGGTCGCGCGCCGGAAATACAAGCCCCAGGTTGGTGACGTACCCTGCGTCGGGCATTTTTGTCCCAACCTGCTGTGTGTGTTTTGCGATCTTGTTGACCTTTTTGGTGGGTTCATCCCCTTCAGGGTTGAATGTGATTTCTTCCTCGATGGATAAAGTTATCTTCTGTATCGTTACCTTCCTCGCTTTGGTCAACCAATCTGGATTCGGCGCAAGTTTGATATAAACCGTAATGGGGTCTAGCGGACCGTAGCTCCATTTCGGGAGGGATATGCCCAACGTCACTACGTTATCCGCCGTCACAAGCTTGCTTTCGGGCCGGTTGTACATTCCAAAGGTTGAGAGCGTGTCATATCGTTGCAGCGGTACGGGAAATGTGTATCGATTCTGGGCGCTTGCCCCCTGCTGAACGGTCACGACGAGCTCATAGAATGTCTCGGCGGTTCGGCTGGGCAGCTGTAGACTCGCTGGTGGGATGCGGCGATTCGTCTCCTCCCCCCCGCGTCCAAAGGGAATGAATATTTGAAACGGCAGGTCCATGGCGATGACGCTCTCCGCCTCCTTGCCCGACACACATCGGAAGAGCAGCACCTCTTTCCCCACTAAATCCACCGTCTCGCGCCGCGGGGTGCCGAGGTGTCGTTTCGCAACATTCTCGGCGGCTGGGTGTATTGTCTCTCGTCGCTGCAGGCAGATGCGCACCATGGACACATTGACGGGCGCCGAGAAGCCTGCTCCCGGACGAATCTCAACTTTGCCTACTATCCTAGGCTGTAGAAGACGGACAAGATAGCACCGTTAGTAAAAAGATGCATAAAAAGGGCAGAATGTCACAGCAGCGTCGCGAAAAAGCCTGAGCGCATGTCGAGCGAGCGCATGCCTGCTTACTCGCATGCGACCGGAGCACAACAGGACTCGAGGGGACAGACGGGAGCGACATGAACTCACTAAAGTTGCAGATATGCCCGGGTAGCCGACCAGAAAGTTGCTGTTGGGCGGGCCCGATATCCTCACGACTGCAGGGGCGTTTGACGCATTCATCCTGCCGTCGGCGCCGGGGTGGCATAGACAGGATGCCTATTCGGGGGGGGAGCTTATCGTCGTCGTCGAAGTCGAGGGGGGGCGGCGCGGACTTCTCGGGTCATGAAGGGGTGGCAGGCCGGCCTCGCCGCGTCACGGCTGGGAGATCGTGGGCGTGGGCGTGGGCGTGGGCGTGGGCGTGGGCGCAGGTGTATGCGTATGCGTGGGTGTCGGGGGCGGCTGGCTGGAGTGAGGGGTATGTACAATGCCGACGGCTGTGTGCTGTGTTGACGATGGCGAGCCCTGTATCGATAGGAAGGCGTCGGGGTCATAGGGCAGCCCAATGGAGGTCGTCGCAGCACCAAGGAACAGGAGTCGCGATTGATGCGGGCGTCGGCCGGTGGTGAATGCGGGTTGTGTGGACAAAAGGCGCCGCCTGGCGACTGTTTCCGTGGGCTTTGGACGAGACGGACGGGGCAAGGCTATCGTGGATTCGTGGTTGCCGGTTGCGGATTGCAATGCGGGCCCCAGATGCCCAGATGCAAGGACGGTGGACGGTGGGCGGGCGGGCAAGCGGTAGGTGGGTTGGTTGTTGATGGACAGTGAACAAACGGCAGCTGAACTAGGTACCTGATAACCTACCAAGGCCCGGGCCTATACCACTAAGGTTTATATGCAGGACAAAGTATTTTCTAGCTGCACACTGTAGCGAGTCTTCGTAGCGACAATGGCACCTACCTAGGGACAAGGTGATCAAATGGAAAAGGTCCTGTAGAACCGCCGAGTTTTGCGACAAAGGTCCAGGTTCCCGTCGGATCTGAAAGGCAACTGTTTTTCGGGTGCTTGTCTTGGTGAGAGCTGCCAGTCGAGCCAGTGCCGTTCGTCGTCTTTGTGCGTCCAGATGGTGTGCATGTGGTGTCCAGATGCAGCTCTTCTCACAGCTGTGCCTCTTACTGGAAGTTCCCTCGGGCCAGCATGAAATGCCGGATGGACCTCCACAGGATCGCTGGCAAATGCAAATCCGTAGCTAGCCTCAGGTTGCACCTTGTCCTTTTCTTTTTACTGCTATGTTTTGTCGGTGAAGTAACCAAGGCTGACACAACTGACAAAAGTTTAGATCAGCTTAACAAGAATGAGCTTTGTTGGCATGTCTTGTCTTGCAGGGCTGGTCGATGATTTGCGATCTTGCACTCGTTCACAGTCCAATCGGCAGGACGGCTTCGTTGGCGCCTGTGTGAAGCGGACGAAACTCTACTTTACTATCCTGCACCTGGGCAAGTTCCCCCGTCGGTGTCGGTGGGCGCCAAGGGGAAGTGCTTCAACGACGACTGGTTACCAGGTTACCACAGCAGGGCTTCGACCGTGACCGCTATTCTTGCACCCATCGAGACTCCGAAGACGAGCTGCGGTGTGATGCCACTTTGGTTGGCAGATGGGCACCTACACCTAAGTACTCGCTAACGTTGTCTCCAACAAGAGGTTGGATGGTCCAGCCTGAAGACGCTTCAGCTGAGAGATCTACCAAGGGTCTCCCTACTTTACTGAAATACAAAGATACACAGCACGACACCCCAGCGGCCCTATCGCATAACTGCAGCGGCAGGGCAGGGTGTGTGAGCGGCTCATAGCGGGGCACTACACAAAAAAGGTTGGAAGCGGAAGGTCCCCGCCTCTTTTTAATCACAGCCTAGGGAAGGGACGGGGGGCTGTTGTCAACCGATAAAATGCAAAGCCATGCAAAGTTCCCCGTTTTGCGGCGCTGCATGGCCGATACAACGTCGCCAACACGTGTAATGCGTGGATTGCTTATATACGGATTATGGCCCGGGACCCTGACATCCAGTGCACTCA